CAGTAGTGTCATTTGTTTACATTATTTTAAGTGCAATATTTTGTTGTGCAGCTTGAAACACATGTAAATCCAAAGAAACCCAGTTTATAGCAAAAAAAAAGTTCAAGCTGCTGAAAGAATTTTTCCTTTGTCCTAGTGACTACTTTAAATTATAAAGGATATTTTACCTGTTGTCTTTAAATTGTAGACTTTTTTTTACAGTAATAACATTTGTTTACATATGCTATTGCTATTTTTGAAGTGTTTCAAACCTGTTTAATTTTTGTGCAATATTGGACCGAATTTGAAGTTAGGCATTTAATTAAAAATACTATAGGCTATTTTTTGTATTTTTGACTATGGAAAATGTTACTGTACTTGAAGGGAGTAATTTGTTTACAAAGTTTTTCTTGTGCTGTTTTTGACAGAAGATACATTTATTTAGATACATTTATTACAATGTTATATTTTTGCTTCTTGCTTGTACTGCACAGATCACCTTACAGCAGAGCAGTGGTGTGTGTTGTTCTTACTTGAATGCTTCAGTAATAAATAATAAATAAGTACCCTTTCCTTCAATATATTTTTCCAATGAATAATATCACTCAATATACTATTGACTTTGTAAAAGGGAGCAAAGACATTTACAACACATATTTTAACTATGCAAAATATCGTCAGATTATCGTTATCGGAAAAATCCCAAAACATATTGAGATATTATTTTTTGTCAATATCGCACACCCCTATGCAGGGTACAAGATGGTAATGGTAGTAGTAGCCCAATTTAGAGTAATAATGCATGGCTCATTGAACGTATTTCTACTTTCACATGCAAATGACTTGTTGCACTTATGAATATGATAACTTTCCGGCATCAATTCTAGTAGGGTAAAACGTAATCCCGCTTTCGAAACGGTCTGTTTTGCCCTGCCATTAGCTGAGGCTGTGTGTGCACAAGAGCGTGAGTGCAAGAGCGTGAGCTGCTCCGTCACACGCAGCCAGAGGGAGTTCCGCAACAACGCTTAGCTGCCCGCCAGTGCGCCTGCCTATAAATCGGCCTAATTTGCAGCACAATCGGCCGATGGCGATTAATTAAAAAATGCCAAAAATCGGCCGATCTATCGGCCGGCCAATCAATCGGTCGACCTCTAAACAACAGGATATAAATATAAACAATGCAAAAATTTTAAAGCAATAATATGAAACCATGCAATACAAAAACAACAAATGCATAACATAATTAGTATGCATATAACTAGTTTGAGAGGTTATAGCGACTCGAACACTTGCAATGCTTCATTGGAATTGGATGGTCACTGACAAGCTTTTTAAAAGTGATTTTCATTGCCACAGTAACAGCGATTGCTCTGATTGGTGGATCTCTGTGCAGGATTATGGGTAATGTAGTTCTTCACAGGGAATTTGGGTTTTAAACATGATTTCTTAACGCTAAAATCACTCTAATTTTTGGTTTCTACATCAGCAGGTGTCACAGAATGACTTCCAGTACATGCACCAAAATAATACTGTTTTCTTCTATGCTTTAGTGTGGGCATGTCTGCATTTTTCAAGCTTTCTGCGCTCCGATTAAACTTTAAACACTACAGTTTACGGTTATGAAACTGTATCAAACAAGCTATGTATGTGCAGTTAGAGGCTGGCATGAATCTTGACTCTATCTTTGGTTTGTCTGGCAACTCCAGTCATTGAGATGAGATACAAACCAATACTCTCATGTTTCACAGCACAAAATAACGTCTCTCCTCCACAGGGCAGAAAACACACTCAGAAATCTTTCACAAACCTTTAGGCAGCAGCGCAGTCAAGACTCAATGATCAGTACTGTGTGGTTTCCCAATGGAGTGACCGTTCGCAACTGAATTAGTGGCAAAACCCATAGCAAAAGATCTCGATCACCTCAAGTCGCCTGATTATCTGAAGTCGATTCTGATGCACAGTCTTATAAAAGTTGGTTCCCTTTAAGAGCCAGACCTTAAGCCTGATTATGTAACGTTCCTGAAAACCTTCACCCGGCTGGAGTTTAGTTTGGTTGTTTTCCCTGCAGACCGCCTGCTTTATCAGACGGCCCGCTGTGAGCAAACAGCAGCTTTCTGAAGCAATTCGACAGACTCAAACATGCAAACACACAGCCTCGTTATCTACATGATTGTAATAACATAAGTGAGTGTGATATATGACGCTGTCCTATTTATTTCATGATGAGTGGGCACATCTACAGATTCACAGATAAAGTGGCAGACTCTATTAATACCAGATATGCAAGACACATCCGTCTGTATCATCATGTCATCTCAATAAGCATCATAATCGCATAAAAATATCAAAAATCATCCCTTAGGATGGCTGATCTACACTGATATGATCTCAGTAAGCATGTGATTTGTTTTCCATCAGCGTTAATTCACATGAAGTTCTCCTGAAAGTGAGTGAATTTCACATGACTGTCCTGAAAACCATATCAACATCTTTCCCTCTAAGCGCTTTAACTAAACAAGTTGCATGAAATAAGTGGGCTTGATATTGCTGAATCAAGGTACAAAAATAACAAAAGCAGAAACTGGACCTTTAAACTGCAAATTTACATTATATTATAAATTATTGATTATATATGTCTGTCTTAATATATAATGTACAAGTAAAAAAATAAATATTTATATTTTTTAAATATTTCCTGTATATATAAATATATAAAAATGCACATGCATTTATAAATATTTACTATATAGTAAATATTTATATATACATATGCATTTATGTACATTAAATATATGAAAATAAAATATATATATATATA